TAATCCTTTTTGGGGCAGCTTAACTTAATACTCAGATTTGAGTATTATGCGAACATTCGTACAATATATTATTGGAGACGAAGCCTCAGGGGTCAGTATGACGGCGACATAAACTGAATTATTTTTAGGCAGGCACGATAAGTGTCTTGATTGCAAAGACATCAAAGGTATGTCTTGAAAGGTTGCCGCTCGTTACTCTATGGGGTTAGTCTGAGGTAAGTTGTGAGATCCAAATGAGGAACTCACTCGAATATGTCGATTTTTTAGAGATATATTTTCATTAATGATAACGTGGAAAACAACATTTTCATGAAATAATTTTTGGTATATTTTTGAAAAGATCCCCGAGACGTGTGTCTGACTGAGCTGTGATCGAGACTTGGAGGACACGACCCTGAGTGACAGCCTGACGATGGTCCTTGTTCATCCACTGAGTGGCAACCTGACAAGGATTAAAATATTTTTTTATCATGATTTTTTTTGTATATTGAATTGAATATCATTTATCCACTTCAGAAGGTCAGTCTGAGGGACTGAATTACCAAGCCTATAGTGAAAAATTGACATCGTTTGGATGTAACTCCCAGCGTGGGCTGCTGACCAAGTATAACTAGGCGGCGAACCTTCTGATTTTGGCCTGGAGTTGAGACATGAGGGGTGACTATCCCGATGAAGGAATTAACTCAGGTAGTTATCAGAGGGGTCGAACGTAATCTTTGAAGTATATGAATTTTAATGATAGGACTTACCCGTCATTGCGCAACCAATACGGGGACTACCGTTAATATAACAAACACGGTAGGCCGCAGCTCCGGCCTGATCAACAGGACTGTGGTGGGTCAAGATGGAGACTGCTCGTCCTCCTGTATTAGGCTTCGGGCAGGACAACTGGCAACTTTGGACATTAATATCGAAAGTTGGACATCCTAAGTCTCGGTTAGGACCCGCGTTTGAGGGGTTGAGTTCGTATGCGGACAAAAGGTCTTGAAGACAACCAACGATGACCTGGCCGAAAGTCTAAGGGTGAGGGGAAGGGGGAAACATTGTCATACTTGACTATTTCATGTACTGTAGTACGGATCAAGTATCCCCACTTCATGTCATTAAATTGATTCTGTAATGTGGGAGACCCGGGTTAAAATCCCGACAGTTATAATGAAAAGTGAGGTGACGATGTCAATCCTAAACTGCACTTCCCGGGAATCGGATGTGGCTATCCACTTATCAAAGATGCGCCTTATTTTGGGAAAGGACTTACCTTCTCTTCCGAGGAGAAAGAGAGGTACATGTATTGTTTTGTATTGTTTCATCTGCCCAGTAATATTATCGATCATGTCATATTTTATCAATTGATTTGATTATGGGAAACGATCAAAAGGGGAATTGTATGAATGATTGTGATAGACATCACTAGCGACAGGGACGTCGCTTAATAGGGTCTGGGATACTGTCGGACCAAATACCCTTACAAGGGTAAATACCCTTACAAGGGTATTTGACCATGTTTTTGCATTCGACATCGTGACGACGTTAGTCACCTTGACGGAGTCGGTCTAAAATAAACAAGGTATGCGTATTCTGACGTGACACTTGAAACAATTTCCTCGACTATTGAAGCCAGGGACAAATTGGTGAGAAAATTTTGAAAAGTATACGCGCGCATTGTTATGACGCGCACTGTGATGATTAGGATCAGTAGGAATACCCTCCGACCTGAAAGGTCGAGGGGTTGATTGAGTTAATGGTGCGTCGGGTAAATTTACAACACACACTGAGGCATGGACGGGTACCTGTCTACGTACCGGTACTGACCCTGTAAAAATATTAACTTTTATATTTTTCGGCTCGGCTAAGAGTACCCAGGCAAATCTACCTTTACTTGGTGTGGTACCGGCCTACCTGCCACTTGAGTGTTTCCCCGCCGCGGCCCTTAATGCCACGACTACAGGTAAATACTGGCCTTCGGGGCCTTTCGATCTACCAAGTGTCTTTGAGGGACACACACGCACACTCAAGACGACAAGCGCTCAGGCGGGCAGACAGACCGGTGAGCGTACACAGACACGAATTTGAAAAACGGGCTCAACCGAGCCCCGATACTCTGCATATACCTGAGCGGCTCCTCTCCTAACCGGAGTGAGAGCCAGCTCAATAGGTTTAGGGTGTAGAACTGTCAAGCAATGGGTGCAGGGAATGATTCCACCGAACCCGTGAGCTGACTCCTTTTTGACGAGGAGCTCCATAAGTTTAACTCGGGCTCGGTCGGTCGGGGATTCGAACCCGTGACCTTGAAATTGGAGTAAGTTACAGTTAAACCCCATTGTGACAATTGACACGAAGGGGTAGTTAAAAGTTGAATTTTTTTTTGTTCTTTTTTTATTTTTATTTAGATTCGTTTTCTTTTATTTTTCTTAGTTGTTATTATTTATTTTATTTCTGACCCGTGGTTATTCTTCATAGATTCACTTTAGTGAATTGACCTCCAAAATCGTGGCAGATTCAGCCAAATCATTCGTCTGACCGAGATCACGAACGAAACCGACCGCTAAAGACTACGACACGACATCGCAAGAGTACGGAAGACATGGCGCAGGAGAGATCGAGAAGGGAGGTTAGGGGAAAGGGGATGTTAAGCTTCTTTTGGACTGTGTTGTGTCCACAGGTCTTCGTCACTTTGGAGAACTTACGGGAGAGTCCGTAAGAAACTGCAATTCTGTTATCATTTGATAACAGGTCGGTAGAACTCCGATTCAACTTCGACATGGCTCGATACCCACACCTAAGACAAGACCTAAGAAAGGAACATATGAATCTTCCCCTGTATCTATAGCTAAATTGTCCAAATCACACTCAGAGGTCTTTGAAAATGTGAAGGGCTGGGGTAAAAGGAGTCACGTAGGAAGGAATGTTGTTTTGAAGGTTTTGGGGGGTGAGGGACTTGTTGTGAATGGGTTAAAGGTTTACGCTTGTAGCGCATTCTGTGCCTACATCTGTATGCGTGTATGTGATTTCTTGCATCTGCACAAGTGTTGGACATTTGTGCTGACTTCTGAATTTGGGATCTTTGGGATATTCGGACAACGGGGCACAACAATTGTGAAAGTGAGGTCTACCGCTCACTCAACTTCCCTGATTTACATACATACTTATAAGATCGTAGGCTGGTCGGTGCTTAGGAAGTCATTTGTCTGGGACTTCTTTGAGAAGAATGGAAGATTACAAAGGGGCTTGACTCTGGTATTTTCTCATAAGGTCAACAAAGGAAATATAGATTCATTGTCATACTTAGCTAAGCGTGGAAGACTGTCCGAGAAAGTCGACCTGATTAGATAGTCGGTCCGGGGAATTGGCACATCGGGGCACGACATACGGGTCAGTCTTAATGCGTTCTACCGCGCGTATGCCTATGCTACGGCGATCGAGAAGATGCCCTCGACTGGTCTACCTCTGCGATTGCATATAAAAGCCTTCGCATGTGGGTCAGTAGCTCAGCGGGGATACGCCCACCTAAGGGATGGTGACAGCTCCCGCAGGTGGAGGTGATGTTGTACCTCGCGGGATCCCTAACCTGTCGTAGGGAGTCGCGAGAGGTATAGCACGCGCGCACGGTCGGAGTGGTGTTTCGTTAAAGTGACAAAAAGACTCCTGCGTGGCGCGATCGTGAGGTCCGACACAAAATCACTTTACGTGTGGGTGTGGGACCGCCGCGCGCGACAACGTGCTTTTGCTGACAAGGGTTTCCCTAACTGCCATGGGTACATCGACTGCACCCACATCTTCATCGACAAGCCAGCGAATTGCCCGGGGGAGGACTACTACGATAGAAAACGCCGTTTCACCGTCCAGGCGCAGGTCGTGGGCAATTTGAACTTGCGCGTGCTGAATGTGTTTGTCGGTTCAACGCGCAGGCGATGTCAGTGGCCGCGTGGTTCAACGCGTACTAGTACGCAGCGTGGTACCCCCGTTCCCTGCTCCTCGACTTGAAGACCCACCCGTGGATCACCCGCAAAGCGATGGTCTGCACCTGTTCGACGTCGCGGAGGACGGCAGGCCGCCAAAGGGGACCGTTGGCGGAGTATTCCATGACGCCGACCGTTGCCAACTGGAGATTTCCGTCCACAGGCTGCCAGGAACAGCAATGGACCAGCCGCGTCGAAAATTGTCGTCGAGAGAGCTGCCGTCAACGCCCCGATTCTTCCGGATGCTCGGACTCAAGGGGACCTCCTTGGGGAAAGCGTCAAAATGGCTGTAGCCCGAGGAATCCCCGAGGAATCCCAAAGGAAATATTTTCACATTTTTTTTTCGTTTCTTCCCCGAGGATAAGTGGAACTACGATTTCCTCGCGCCCGAGGAGTGTGGAAAGAGCCCCTTACAGGTAGAGCTCGAGACCCCACCGGATGCTCTACATTCTCACTTAAGGCTGTGACCACCTCGAGTCGTACTCTTAGCTTAGAAGCTACTTTTGAATCTATTGATGACGTTTCTTTTCCGGTAGACTTTGGGGACCCCAGCCCCAAATGAATTCAATAAGGGACGTTGGGCCCGTTTCCCAACACGTGCTGCTCCCCACGAATAGAATGGAGCTTTATTTTGTGAGGGGCAAAAAAAAAAAAAAAAAAAAAAGCAGTGCGCGAGCTGGCCATCGTCGGCATCCATAGCGCCTCGCCAGACCACTGTCGAAACGAAAACAGAAGGAATGCATCTGCCGCAGAAAGTGGTAAGATCCATTGCTATTCATAGTAACGGATGCATGTGCCCTCCTCCGCGGGACGATGCATTCGTTCGTTTTCCATCCCGACAGTGGTGTGGCGAGGCCCATAGATGCTGGGACTGGAGGCATTCGGTTTGGACCTGTCCTAAACAAAAAGAAAGGAAAAAAAAAAAAAAAAAAAAACTAAGATAGTAGATAGATAAAAACGAGAAAATTGCACCCGAAGCCAAAATAGAAAAACGAAATTCCAGGAGCGGATAGAACTGTGAGCGAACGAGCGAGCGAGCCAGCGCGTGAGCGACACAGGCAAAGAGCTGGGCGAGGCAAAACTTCTCGTCTCGGCGGACAGCTTGAGGCGCAGCAGTCGGTCAGTCGACGATGATGGTGAGCGCCAGTGTGAGCGGCAGCAATCAATAGACGGATATAGGAGGTGACGGTGAGAGGGAGGTGAGGCGCACTGAGGGACAGACAGGAGGGAGATAATCTAACACGGCCGCCGTTTGTAGAGCGTGATGGTGAGTGACGGTGAGTGACGGCAGCATCTGAACTACGGTGGGTCCGCCATGAGAGAGGGTGATTGGGAGTGAGCGGCAGGTGGCAGATAATCCAATCTATAGCCTCGTAGAGATGTGAGCAATCGAGACAGGGAAAGGCGTTTGTGGTGAGTGACGGTGAGTGATGGTGAGTGAGGGGACAGTAACTGTGCATGCGAGAAGGGGACAAGTGCGAAAGGCATCGAGGTTTGGGGCGAACACGTGTCGATTGTGAGAGGGAAGAGGAGAGCTTGACTGACGCCACACAATGCGATGCATGTGTGACAGCTGTCGCTGTTGAAGACGTCTAGTATACGGACGAACGAGAAATCGGGTCAGTTAGGGGAAGGGTAGGTGTCCCACAGCTGAGCCGGCTCGGCATACCCTCCCTTCTCCTCCCTTCTCCTTGCTCTCCCAATCTCTCTCTCTCTCTCTCTCTCTCTCTCTCTCTCTTCTCTCTCTCTCTCTCTCTCTCTCTCTCTCTCTCTCTCCCTCCCACCCACTCGCGAGCTATTTATCAATCTATGCGAATCACTCAATCCAATTACCAGCCAATAAATTAATCGCAATCAATCAATCAATCAATCAATCAATCAATCAATCAATCAATCAATCACTTAATCAATCCATCAATTAGCCAATCAATCAGTCAGCTTACTGATCGATCTGTGCACCTCTCTATTTATTGTCTCTATTTCTATCTATCTATGACCAGYTMYSTTGATCTCTCTCTCTCTCTCTCTCTCTCTCTCTCTCTCTCTCTCTCTCTCTCTCTCTCTCTCTCTCTCTSTSTTAKTTCTCTCTCKTCAYGYTKCTCTCTCTCTCTCTCTCTCTCCCTCTCTCTCTCTCTCTCTCTCTCTCTCTCTCTCTCTGAATTCTCTCTCGTTTATCCCTACTCTCCGAACCCGTGAGTATAGCGTCTAACCTATAGCAACTAGGGTGTTCAGTTTGCTGACGTGGACCTTACAGAGATGCATGCTATCCCATGCAACACATGCAACAACGTTCCGGACGGTCCACGTGCGTTCACCATGTTGCTGCCACCGATGTGCACGTCGTCATAGCTGCCATGCAGTATGCGAGCTTGTTAGCCAAGGGTTCCTGCTGCCGTGGTTAATGCTACCGGTAGCTGTCATTTTTCTGCTTCATTGGAAAAAAAAAACAAAAAAAAACCGGACGGTTTAGGGACAGGGCCGGACTGTTTTCTTTTTTCTTTTTAATAATAATAAAACAGACGGCCTTGAGATATCATCATTGAACTGACCTGCGCTATACGTACTCGGTACCTCAGAATTTTGTTGATATTATTTTGTTAATCTGACTGCATCTGGATGGAATTTCGAACTTGAGGTAGGTAATTTTGCACAAGTATGTTGTTATTATTTTGTTAATCTGACTGCATCTGGATGGAATTTCGTACTTTAGGTAGGTAATTTTGCAGAGGTATGTCATTATTATTATTTTAATCTGACTGTGTATCTCGATTCGAGCTTGCGTCTGCATATCACCAGTGGGCACATTGCAGATACACCGGCTCAGCGGAGTATCGTAGCAAAAATCCCGGGGCAAGGTTCCACTATCAAAGAGGATTGGATAAATGCCCTGAATGTGGCCGTGTTTTAAGCCGAGATGCAGAAAAGCAGTTCAATCCTAGGCTACCAGAGTGGCCCGGTGTCACTTGCCCGGCCGGGCCAAAAAAATAAATAAAAATAAAAATAAAAAATTATTTTTAAAAATTATTTTTTTGTTTTAAATTTGGTGAAGAATTTCTATGTAAACCTGAGGCAAAAGTTGTTCAGTTTAGTTTTCTGCATAACATAGTTTTTTTTCGGATGTTTTGGATTTTTTTTTTTTTTTTTTTTTTTTTTTTGCTGGGACCTTCCTTGGTCCTTGCACGGGCTGGCCACCCGGGACCGGGCGGCCCGGCTGGTAGCCTAGGTTCAATCTCGATTTTCTGCACCTTTCCACAGAAGAGTTCAGATTCCGGCTTTCAATCCAATCCTCTTCGCAAGTGGGCCCCGGTCCCGGTCTCAGGTGGGGACCACCAACCAAACCTAAAAGTAGCGAGAGGATGAGATAGATGAAGAAAAATATATACCACGAAAACTGAAGAGAAGAATATAGATTTAGTTTGATCAGAAAAAAAAACAAAAAAAACCAAAAAAAAACGGTCTGCCCTTGTATTGTGACACAAATATGCCTGCAAAGTTGCAGACATACCCTTTTTTTTTTGTTTTTTTTTTTTTACGACATACCGTAAAAAGAAAAAGAAAAAAAGAAAAAAAAGGGTTTCTGAGCAGCAGATTTGCCGGGCGGTTCTTTCTTTCAGGGCAAATAATATTATTATACCGTTTTTTAAAAGTACCTCCTTTTGCAACAGAGAGAGGACTCGCCAGCCAGCGTTGGAGTGCCTTCCCCAACCAGGCCAGACCAGGCGGACGGGGTCTCTGTCACAAAAGGAGGTACCCCCCCCACGGTAGATCTGCTCCGGAACCTTGCGGAAAAGGGGTATTTCTGCAACTTTCTAGGTCTGTTTGTGGCCATACAGGGGTATGCCGGACCCGTATACTTGCTACGATGCTTCTCCAAATCGGGTATTTCTGCAGTTTGCCCAAACAGAAAGGGGATGATTTGGATAGCC